GTCTTGTTTACCATTATCATTGAAAATGAAAGTAAATAAAACCCCAAATTTTGGGTTGTACCCATAAAAGTAATAGAGTGGAAATTTCCCAATGGGGACATTAGTTCTAGTGACCTAGGGGTCTCCAAAGGATTCATTTAATTTAAGGGGATTAACTTTCACTTCCCGTTTTGGCTTTGGGGCAAAAAGTGAAGGTAAATTTCCCCAATGAGATGGCAAACAATAAACCGAGAGGGGTTATAACCCTCCCATACTCTATGCAACCTCTTCACGCCAAGCGTACGCAAATATTTGGCCTCTCAGTGGCTTGGCCTTGATGCCAAGTAGCCACATATTTGCATAACATTTGTAAAAAAACAAGTGCTGAGAGCGCGTGCCCTGCACGTTCCCAGCACGTGTGTCTGCGTCCCACGGAAAGGTCCCGATCTCTCCTTGCGATTGGGACCTTTCCGATCATGTGACTGCCGGGACAGCTAATCATGGTGGTCATGTGACCCTAAACCCCGCCCCACCCCCCTGAGTCAGAAACCCCTTAAAGGGTCGGGAAGTGCCGACGTGAAGGGGTTAAAATGAAAAAAAAGTTTTGCCTTTAATTCTATTATAAGTCTGACAGGCCCACAGATTTCTTTTGGAGAGGGAACCACATATGGTAAGCTACTAAGCAAAGAGTAAAACCCAGGCTGATCACCCGCACCTACACCAGCTCCACCATTTCCCTTTAAATTCAATTCTAGTTTGTGTCATTTACCAAACTCCACATTCCACAATTAATACCTTGCTGTTGAGTGTCTCATTTGCAAAACAGCCTAAAGTCTTAATCTTCCCTGGAAAGCATTAACAAAATAAATCCAGTTTGGTAACATGTACACTTAACGCTCTCTTCTATTATACTCAATTCACAGAAAATGTTCGGCATTGAGTAGCAAACAAGAGCGAAGCACTTACGCAGCAGCAGTCTAAAAGAAGTTAAAAAAGTAAAATTATAGGAAAAAAAATTGCACAGGATCCAAACAACAATGCATTACAGCAAAGCCCTATAGAATATAATAATTGTTCATTCTTTTTCCAGGCCAACGTCACATATGCTAAATTCATTGTGACTCATATTTGACTTGGAAAATTAATCCCGCATTCAAATCCCCTTTATCGGATGTGTTAAACTAAAAACGATTGCACAACAGCCTTACAATGACTTTATGAAGCGTAGGACAGGCTGTAAAGTAAGTTGCTCTTTGAACGTATTATGAGATCTTTATTGTGAATGTATTTAGTGGTGTGTTTAGCAAAGTAATAGGTTATTTTATATGCTTTTATGTTTAGAATAATGAACCCCTACAGCAGAATATAGGCATGTTTAGTTAGGCAAGGGACTCGATGTAAAGTGCTTTAATCCATGGCGCTCAATTAGAATACACATTGCACAGATCTGGCTTGTGTTAACTCGAATGACTGATCCGTTGAGCTGTTTTACGTCCTTATTGCTCTTTGTGATGGCGCTCCTAGACATTTTGGCTAAGAAAAGTGTATTATCTGTTCTTTCCAGTTTTCGGTCCCTTTTGCACAGACGTTCTGATCCGGTCAGCCTGCCTGTTTTCCAGGCAGACCTGATCGGAACCTCTATTGTCCTCTATGGAATGATGGGTGTAAATGGACATGCATCCGTTTACACCCGCCGACATCCAATCTGATCTGATCCAATCCGAAGCAGAGAGGTAGTCCATAGAGGACAGTGGGTTGTGTCCCTGTCCACTCTGCATAAGCAGAGTGAATACAGACCTGTCATCGGCTTGCTCAGCGGAGATCAGCAAACAGATCCCCCGCTGAGCAACAGATCCGCTGGTGGGTCCGTCCAGTGTGAAATGGACCTTCAGAAACAGGAATAAAGTGATAAAGTGCAAAGCCATCCACAACTCTGAATAAAGTAATAAAGTGCAAAGCCATCCACAACTCTGAATAAAGTAATAAAGTGCAAAGCCATCCACAACTCTGAATAAAGTAATAAAGTGCAAAGCCATCCACAACTCTGAATAAAATAATAAAGTGCAAAGCCATCCACAACTCTGAATAAAGTAATAAAGTGCAAAGCCATCCAAAACTCTGAATAAAATAGTAAAGTGCAAAGCCATCCACAACTCTGAATAAAGTAATAAAGTGCAAAGCCATCCACAACTCTGAATAAAGTAATAAAGTGCAAATCCATCCACAACTCTGAATAAAGTAATAAAGTGCAAAGCCATCCAAAACTCTGAATAAAGTAATAAAGTGCAAAGCCATCCACAACTCTGAATAAAATAATAAAGTGCAAAGCCATCCACAACTCTGAATAAAGTAATAAAGTGCAAAGCCATCCAAAACTCTGAATAAAATAGTAAAGTGCAAAGCCATCCACAACTCTGAATAAAGTAATAAAGTGTAAAGCCATCCACAACTCTGAATAAAGTAATAAAGTGCAAATCCATCCACAACTCTGAATAAAGTAATAAAGTGCAAATCCATCCACAACTCTGAATAAAATAATAAAGTGCAAAGCCATCCACAACTCTGAATAAAATAGTAAAGTGCAAAGCCATCCAAAACTCTGAATAAAATAGTAAACTGCAAAGCCATCCACAACTCTGAATAAAGTAATAAAGTGCAAATCCATCCACAACTCTGAATAAAATAATAAAGTGCAAAGCCATCCAAAACTCTGCTCCCAGCTAAATCAACAACCAACCAGCCTAAATATCACCCAAACCATCCGCCTCATTCCTTCCAAGACCTCCTGGTTTCTAGCTCCTTCATCACCTCCTCCCATGCTTGCTTCCATATTCCATCTTCTGAACCAACCTACCCCAACTTGTATGCCTTTAGGTCACATGTGTCAAACTGGCGGCCCTCCAGCTGTTGCCAGACTACAAGTCCCATGAGGCATTGCAAGATTGACAGTTACAAGCATGACTCCCAAAGGCAGAGGCATGATGGGAATTGTAGTTCCGCAACAGCTGGAGGGCCACCAGTTTGACACCCCTGCTTTGGGTGATCCCTGCAATCTCATTTATTTAAATTCCAGGAAAGCCTATCCCTACCTTAATCTAACAACTAGAATTTTATTTTCTCAAAGAACTCATCCCTCCACAGTTACTACCTATTGTATCACTTGCCTTTCCTTTTGAATTGTAAGCTCTCATGAGCAAGGCCTCCTAACCTTCTTGTCTTTAATTGTTTTGTAATTGTACTTGTAGGAAGGTGCAGTCTACATTTTCCAATTCAAGTGGCTCTTGACCATAGCGACAATTCAGCTGCGGGATGAAGTCGAGAGAAACTGGGTTTCTCTATGGTTTTCTCGGTCAACAGTGATCTGGTTGGATGTGCTGGACCCAGGTGACCCTGGTGGCCATCTTGGGTCAATCAGAGTTTTTTTAAGTTCCTGTCCCCTGGTTTCAGTGCGCTTTATGCAAGTGGCTAGTGTAGGGACAGGTCAGCCGTCTGTCAGGGACAGCACTATCAGTGGGGAAAGGTTCCAGTGAAGTAGAGAAAGAGAAGGATTACGTCTACCTTCTGAGGAAGCTTCCCCCGTTGGGTTGGACCTGCCAGGCTGCACTCTGTTCCTCGTGGCAGACGCTGTCGACAGCTTGGAACCTACACACTTCTGTCTCTGTAGTGAACTGTTGTAAGTGTTTCAGTCTGATAAACCTCCCCACAGAGCCTATTTGTACTGTTTTACTATTTCTGCAATACAACATTTTGGGGCATATTGGGACATGTTTTCTGCCTGCTGCATCACGCTGTACCTAACCAACATACTGTATCCCTATCCTGTATATTATTGCATGTGTCATTACTTATTCCGTACATCGGTTGTGTGGAATTAATTGGTTTTGTTCTAAGTTGGGTTACTTTTATTTGTGCTGAAGCAATCACCTGTAGAACCTAATCATGAAAGACATCTGAAATGGGTTGCAGGACCTTGACCAAAGGTTAGATTGGAGTTTATTGGGTAAGAAGACCTTCTTGCAGCCTTTTGTCTAATGGCTGTTTTTCTCTCTGACCACCATACTCAGATGTTCATGGTCATTCGCTGAACAAAGACTCCAAATCCTGAACTTTTAGCTTTAAGGATAGCTGTACTTTACATTAAACTGACTGTTGGCCTCCTTCCGCCCTTCGCATCAAACTTCCCAATTATATCTCAGGCCTCGAATACAGACAGTGTATGCTCCGATGACCACTAGACCTGCGTAGGTTTGTCAGCCTTTGATCAGGAATGCCAAACTGCCTTTCCATTTCTACAGACAAAAAATAAAAACTTTTATAGACTCATTGATGGGACCTTGGTAGAGAAGGTTTTGACAGGGCTTAGAAAATGCTTAGGATTTTTATTTTTTAAATAGGTTTTTCACTTTTTGGACTTTTTGGTAAATGAAAATATTTGTTAAATTAAAAGGACTGTATAGGTTTTTCAAATTATATTTAGCTGTGCATGTAAATCAGATCAGTTCAATAAAAAATAATTGGCATTTGTTTTAAAACCCGTATTTCCTATTATAATTTGTAATATACCGAATATGTACATTGGTAACTGTGGTGGAAGCTTGCCTATGCAATCTCTGCTTCCTGCCTTATAGTGCTCCCTAATGGTTGCACTTTACTGAACCTTCTCACAATGCATGTTGCCTATGAGTTGGCCAACTCTTTGAAAGTGGTTCACAAGGACCCTCTGGCTGGTTGGGGGATGTTTATTTTATTGGGCTCAATATGTTAAAGTGTTGCTAAACCCAGGATCCTGCATTCACTATATCTGACCTCTCCGGACCCTGCATTCACTATATCTGGCCTCCCTGGACCCTGCATTCACTATATCTGACCTTTCCGGACCCTGCATTCACTATATCTGACCTCTCCGGACCCTGCATTCACTATATCTGGCCTCCCCGGACCCTGCATTATCTGGTCTCCCCGGACCCTGCATTCACTATATCCGCTCTCCCTGGACCCTGCATTCACTATATCTGGCCTCTCCGGACCCTGCATTCACTATATCTGGCCTCCCCGGACCCTGCATTCACTATATCTGGCCTCCCCAGACCCTGCATTCACTATATCTGGCCTCCCCGAATCCTACACTCGCTATATCTGGCATCCCAGGACCCTGCATTCACTATATCTGGTCTCCCCGTACCCTGCATTCACTATATCTGGTCTCCCTGGACCCTGCATTCACTATATCTGGTCTCCCTGGACCCCGCATTCACTATATCTGGTCTTTCCGGACCCTGCATTCACTATATCTGGTCTCCCCGGACCCTGCATTCACTATATCTGGTCTCTCCGGACCCCGCATTCACTATATCTGGTCTCCCCGGACCCTGCATTCATTATATCTGGTCTCCCCGGACCCTGCATTCACTATATCTGGTCTCCCTGGACCCTGCATTCACTATATCTGGTCTCCCTGGATCCTGCATTCACTATATCTGGTCTCCCTGGAAACTGCATTCACTATATCTGGTCTCCCGGACCCTGCATTCACTACATCTGGTTTCCCACAGTACACACAACATGGAAATGCAATTAATTTTAGTTTAGAGGGGGAGAAGTTTCCCCGTACTATCTGTTAAATTTGGAAAGAGCACAGCCGTACGGGGCTCCGCCCACACGGTTGCGTCATTCATTCACGGACTACCGTGAATGAATGAACTGCAAGTCCCGGCAGCCTTAGTGGCTGTGGGCTTGTGGTTTTCAATGAACTACCACGGTGCTGTGGAGCGCCGTGGTAGTTCATTGAAGCTTCCTGTCATAATATCTGTTTGGCCGTACATCCCACACACCCCTTATATCCCTTATATCTTGTACACATCCCCTACACCCCGTATATCCTGTACATCCCATCCAAGGGTATATATCCCATACATCATGTACATCCAGTACATCCCGTACATCCAGTACATCCCATATATATCCCATACATCCCGTACATCCTGAACACTCCGTACATCCAGTACATCTCATATATATCCCATACATCCCGTACATCCTGTACACCCCGTACATCCAGTACATCCCATCCCATATATATCCCATACATCCCGTACATCCAGTACATCCCATATATATCCCATACATCCTGTATATCCCATACACCCCGTATATCACGTACAGCTTGTACACCCCATACATCCCATACACTCTGTACATCCAGTACACCCCATGCATCCCATACATGCCATATACCCCATACACCCCATACACCCTGTACACCCCGTACATTCCATACACTCTGTACATCCAATACATCCCGTACATCCCATATACCCCGTACATCCTGTATGGCAAGCAGATATTCTGACAGGTCTGCAGGTGAACTGCATGGCATCAGCAATCTACTGATCGCTGGTGCAATGCTTTCCAGGCTCCTGTAGACAAAAATAATAAATGCACATTTTTTTACCTGCAAAAAAATGTGCATTACTTTTTTCTAAAAAGTGAACTTATCCTTAACCCCAGGTTCACACCTAAGTGTTTTCCTCAGCATTTAGCATTTTGCAGAAACGCAGTACAGTCCATTTAATATGATTTCCTATGGGACATGTTCACATCCCCGCGTTTTCACCCAGTGCATTTTTTTGGAAAGGGTCAGGGACTTTGCATTTTTGGTTCTATAGACATCAATGGAAACGCTGCAGAACAGAATGCCGTGCGTTTTTGCTGCATTTTTGCCACGTTTTTGATGTGTTTTGCATTTTCAATGTTTGCCTAGCAACAAGAAAAAGAAAAAAAAAGACAAAAATGCAAAATGCATTAAAAACACGGCAAAAACGCAAAGCGCAATGCAGAAATGGCTGAAACGCAACCTGCATAGGTGTGAACCTAGCCTTAAAGTGAATGTGTGCTTTGCATATGTTTCCTGTACCTGGAACTACCAGATACTTTTCTAGATGGAAGGAGAGTATGTGCAGCCAGTGGGGCGACCATTAAACATCACATTAACCTACGGTATCCATTCACCATTACTTTCCATTAGCTCCTGATATACAATGGCTGTGTGTATAACTATACAGGAAATCATCTTCCTCAAGGGTCTCTCTGCAGAGACATTATAAATAGCATGCATACTCAGATACTCCCCATGTAATCAATGCATATGGATGGATCTGGGCTTTCAAGCACTTTAATTAGTGAGTGGACTCCCACCTGATTACAGGGACAGGTAATGAATGCTAATTGCTAAGTGCTGAAAGAGACCCTATAGTGGCCAGTGGCTTGTTTCACTTTCCAACAGCCATTTGGCCAAAGAAGCAATGGGCAAGTATCTGTATAGAACTATATCCATAACCTGAAAGAGCAACATCACCCTGACAAAGTAAAGCCAAACTGCAGGCAAACACAGATGAAATGCATAGGAGCTGTTTTCCCATCCAAAAGGATTTTTTTTTTCCTTTATGTTCATCCCGTCCTGAGATTTACACAGCTCTGCCACACAGTGCAGTTCTCTCTGGCAGAGAAAGGAATCTGTACTGTGCCCTCCTGATCCCCCTGTACTGTGCCCTCCTGATCCCCCCCCCCCCATACTATGCCCTCCTGATCTTCCTGTACTGTGCCCTCCTGATCCCCCTTGTACTGTGCCATCCTGATCCTCCTGTACTGTGCCCTCCTGATCCCCCCTGTACTGTGCCATCCTGATCCTCCTTTACTGTGCCCTCCTGACTCTCCATTCACTGTGCCCTCTTGATTCCAGTATTGTGCCCTCCTGATCCCCCTGTATTGTGCCATCCTGATCCCCCTGTATTGTGCCATCCTGATTCCCCTTCATTGTGCCCTCCTGACTCCCCCTGTACTGTGCCCTCTTGATTCCCCCTGTACTGTGCCCTCCTGCCCCCCCCATACTGTGCCCACCTGATCCCCCTGTACTGTGTCCTCCTGATCCCCCCTATACTGTGCCCTCCTGATCCCCCCTGTACTGTGTCCTCTTGATCCCCCCTGTACTGTGTCCTCTTGATCCCCCCTGTACTGTGCCCTCCTGCTAAAGTATAGCACAAAAGAATGTTGCCATTCCGCAGCCAACCTCCACTTATCTAAATTGAGGGGGCTTCTCCCCACAACCATCTGTATTTTTTTTTTTTTATATATATACATAAGTGGTCTGTTTACACATCCATTCACAGGATCTCTGAATGCAAGCACTGCAAGTTGCAACGCCATGCAAAAAAAAAAAAAAATATGCATATATGGGTACATTATTTATTTATTAATTTTACAAAGGCTGGAATGTGCCTTTAAAAGACCGCTAAGTTCTCTCTTTTTTGTTCTTTTTATTTACCTAAGTGGTCTGTTTACACATCCATTCACAGGATCTCTGAAAGCAACCACTGCAAGTCCTATCAGTCACCGAGGTATGAAGGCTGGTACTGTAGTTTTCAGTGGAACAAAAATGGGGGGCAACATCACCATACTCATAGCCTATTGATGACTTCCTCCTGCTCCACAACTGGACCATTACCCCCATATGCACCGGGGACTGGAGAAATAGTCCGTAGGACCCTGTGCATTGCACCCCACCATGCACTGATCAAAGTTGCAACGTCATGCAAAAAAAAAAAAAAAAAAGATAAATGCCTATATGACAACATTATTTATGTATTTATTTATTCATTCATTTTACAAAGGCTGGAATGTGCCCTTAGCAGACCACTGAGTTCTCTCTTTTTTTTCTTTTTATTTACCTAAGTGGTCTGTTTACACATGCATTCACAGTATCTCTGAAATCAACCACTGTAAGTCCTATCAGCCATCGAGGTATGAAGACTTGTACTGTAGTTCTCAGTGGAACAAAAATGCGGCACCATCGCCATACTCGTAACCTATTGATGACTTCCTCCTGCTCCATGACTGGACCATTACCTCCATATGGATAAATAGTCCTTAGCAGCCTGTGCATTGCACCCCACCATGCACATGAAGTTGCAACGCCATGCAAAAAAAAAAGATAAATGTATATATGGGTACATTATTTATTTATTTATTTATGTATTCATTCATTTTACAAAGGCTGAAATGTGCCTTTAACAGACCGCTGAGTTCTCGATGCATGGTGATATATCAACCATAGCAAGCAAAACAAAGACATCAAAAGCTGTGACCTGGTTGTGGTATTCATGTTTTCCAGCAGGGGGAGCCAAACCAGAAGGGAGAGTTCTCTGTGTTGCAGCCAGTTCCTAGTGATTTCCTTTCTGGCACTCTGCCTATGTTTATATTGAATTCAATATTGAATAGTATGTTTAAAAAAAACAATAAAATTACATTGTAGTCTGGAAATGAAGGAAGAGCTCTATAAAAAAAAAATGTAATTAAAAAAAATGAAGATAACAATGTATGCAAGGCAGCAAAGTCTATCTACCTGCTGGAGGAATCATTACAATTTAATTTATAAATATCAGGGAAAAAAAACACAAAAAAAATAATAATAATTAAAAATATATAAATATATATATATATATATATATATTATTTATTATTATTATACAGTATTTATATAGCGCCAGAAAGGTTTACTCAGCGCTGTACATTATTAGACAATTTATATATATATATATATATATATATATATATATATTATTTTTTTTTTCCTGCATGAATATACAGGTTCAGTACAGGTTCAAGTTATGCATACATATATGCGACTTTCTTATATACGGTATTGTTGGTTTCTCTGGTTTGTTTTTGTTCCCACAGTTTTCTCTGCATCTCATTGTTGAATGTACAATATATATTGCTTCACTATGAAACAGACTGTACGGATGTAACTGTAAGGTCTCTATTCCTTTGCTGGCTGTATATGCTCTATTTATTTTTACTTGGATGTGGAAAATTACAATAAAAACAGATTAAACATAAATATCAGCAAAATGGCATTGCAACACTTTGACCAGTAAAATTTTTTTTGGTGTGCTTCCAAATTACTAAAGTCAGACGTGAGCCAGTACGATGGCAAAGCATAGGAAAAAAATTAGAAATTACCCAGCTTGGCAAAAAAACTGACTGAATGAAAAAAAAAGAAAAAAAGTGTGTGTATATATATATATATATATATATATATATATATATATATATATAATAATTTTTTTTTCATTTAGTATAGTATAGCCATATATATAGTATAGCATATATATTTAGCATATATATATATAGTTATCGAGAGGCCACACATGGAAGAAATATATATTTTAAATATACTTTAAAAATATTCATCATATATATATATATATATATATATACACGCACATACATACATACACACACATATATATATATACACATACACTGCATGTTGAAATGCGTTTTTTATATATTAGAAAATATATGAAAAAAATTTTTACAAATATTTTTTTTTAAATATATTCTTCAGATTCTTTTAACATATAAAAAAGTAATTTTAACATATATATGTTTACATATATTTGTAAATGCATTCCAAAAATGTAGATTGAATGTATTTTCAAAGACATGC